ATCAAAATATACTGACTGCGTATAAGAGAATAAACAGTTAAAATAATGTAAAAGAGATAAATGAGCAAATGTATTAATATACACAAAATAGAGATGGAGATATGGAAAAGAAAGTGATGGGAAAAAGAAAAAGAGGATAAAACTGAGAACATATGCGTTTATCTTACGACACCCGTTCGTTTAACCAGGTCTGTTTATCTTTCTTATCTCAGTTTTCTCCTCTTTTCCTCTATCCTGTCACTCTCTTTTCTATATCTCCATTTCTATTTTGTGTATATTGATACTTTCTATATTGTTTATATTTGCTCATTTGTCTCTTTTTACATTAGTTTAACCTTATATTCTCTTACACATAGTATGTTTTGATAGATTTTACAATATATCAATTTTCTATTTATATCTATTATTTCTTTATATAACTTCATATTTCTTTTTTCTGTTTTATATGTTATTCTATGATTATCTCACTTCCTTTTAGCATATTATTACATCATTAGCAACTAGGTCATCCCATTTATTTATTTTTTTTATACACTTACGTTTATTATCTTATACATTCCACTACTTTTCGTTGTTAATTCATTTTTTGTTTCTTATGTTACTTTATTTTGATTATGTTTATTTCATTAGTCCATACTTTGTTGCCGTTATTATTATTTATTTTTTCATTGGTTATTATTCTAATTAGTTTGTTTTACTTTAATGTTCACTCTATCTACTTTAAGTTTATTCTAAATACATTTTTTACTCTATACCTTTCACCTTTTTAATTTTAATTCTTTATTTTTCAATGTTTACATTTTCTCATACCTATTGTTATCTGTTTTTTTCTTAACCCTGATGAAGGCCTGAACTTTGGGCCAAAACGTTGGCAAAAATAAAATTATTCATTTTTACTTTTATTTTTTAATTTATTGGTGCAATAGGGCATTCATTATTCATGCTTTTAATAGTTTATAATTTTTTTTTCAGTTAGAATTAACAGGTTTTGTTTTACCTTTAAATCAAAACACATTGGAACATTGAAGTAAAAAAAAAAAATTACAGCAATTATTTGAGAGAAAACTTTAAAATAATATTTTACTTTATTTATTTTTGTAGATCACTTTGCTTCCTCCAGTTCATTGCTATGGTTGATGGCCTTATTAATGATTTGACAAAAATAAAATCTATGGCTGGCTTTTTAGTGAGACATACTTTTCACTCCCTTCTTCATTTTTTGAACACTGACATTGCTGTACTGGCTGTTCATTATTTATATAGGTATTTTTTTATTATTTGTTAATAATGCAATTTTGTACTTAATAAAAATTTATTATCTGATTTTTTTCCTTATTACACTTTATTTTTATCATATTATATAGTTACTGGTTGCTTATTCTTTGCAGAGGAATGAATAGTTAACAGCGGTGTCCCATAAGACGAAGAGCAAAGAACATTCTTTGCTTCCCTCTCTTTTTTTTTTTCTTTTTTTTTTGTATAGTACAGACAACATTTTGTTTCTATAAACTGTCTTTCAGCTCCTAACTATAATAAAAAGTTTGTTTAACTGGTTTTCTAAGAAAAGTAGATTTTTGATTTTTTAAATTTTTTTTATGATGATGATGGTGGATGGCAGGATTACTTAGAACCAGAACCATCTTACCTTTGTTTGTTACAACTGAAAAATGTTATGTCAAAATCTGTTTTATCTATTCTCATGATTAAGTGTTAACGAAGTGAAACACAATCAAGATTTGTTATTAGAGATTTATAAGTACATAAGATTTGTCCCTTTTCCTCAGTTTTCATATAACTATTTAGGTATTATTATTATTATTCGGCATTTAGGTATATACTCAGATCACAACAGTTATTGTTATAAATTAAATTTTAAAGACAATAATCAAAGTGATTTACTAATATCAGCCCTTGTTCTCTAGGTTTGTGGAGATAGCATTACGTACTTCTGCTAAGCTAGTGGACTACTTCATTGACATTATTTATCCAGCCATTTTTAAAATTTCTCAAGAAGGTCCATCAGGTAATGGTTAATAATACATTTATTATATGATTTTTATCTGTTACCTTGTATGTGCATTAATCTAATCAATTAAAACCTGCCATTAGAGAAATGGTACATACTGAAAAAGGTTTGAATCTGGATGAAATTATATCCGTTCTTGGTTATGCTGATGATTTGGTACAATTAAGTGAAGATTTAGAAACTAAAACTAAATATAACAATATTGATGAAAAACATTAAAAACTGGTGTTCTAAATAAACTATACTAGACAAAATATGTATATGGTTATCCGCAAATAAAAAAATGATGATTTCAGTGATATAGATGGAGAAGGAAATATATTTAAACTTATAGAAAAGTGTAGGTATTTAGTGTATATGGTAACTAGAAAAAAATTAAATAGAACAGGAAATTTTGGTTAGGTTGAAAGTAGAAAATGCTTGTTATTTTTGTTTTTTACTAAACTACTTGACTCCTCCTTTTCCATAATTTTAAAATTAAAATTTACAAAACTATTATCGTTCCATAAAGAACTTGAGTTCTTTATGGATGCAAAAAATATAAAGTATTGTGATTGGAGAAAGATGATTCAACCAGAGAATTGTCAAATTGTGTACTTTTTTTTTCTCAATTATCTTCTGTCTAATTGTGACGTATAGAGTGGGAGGATGGGGGTTGTTCTAGAGTTACAACTAAACCTATTCTAACTAGAGTGGAAAGTCGAAATTAATTCTGTGTTTCCACCATAAACAAAATTTCAATCTGTCCAGGCCAGATTTGAACTGGCATCACTAAACTCAGTTTACACTTCAACATACTTGGTCATCACAACCTCAAGAATTATGTGAACTATATATACCTTTAGTTGTATTCATTTGTATATAATTAAGGTTGACTACTTTGTAGCAAATAAAATGGGTGTGTAAAATTTTTGGACTTAGTATTGGAATAATCTCTAAAAAGTTAATATGCACTGTGCGGACTGGTAAGCATCTGAGAGATAGACTGAGATTATTGGATGGAAATATATTGACAGTGACTGGTGATATCTGCTTTGAACCCTCGGATTCTCTATGTCTTCATTATTTATGATTAATTCAAAGTTTAGAAGTCATCTATATTCTTTCAAACTTTACAAATATACCTTGTACAGTTTACTTTTAATTATAAAATATATCGTCAGTTTATTGTAAAAAGTAATTGACATTTCATAATGTTAAATCACTAAGAACTTTGATGAATTATCCCTTTATGATATTAGAAAAGTTTGCGCTTGTTACTATATTGAATAAGCATTTTGTCAATTTAGTGCACTTACTGTATTTTTTATTGACAAGTGATGACAAAATTCACAAAAACATTTCTGAAAATTTAGTTTCATCATAGACGTACTTCATGCCGTTTTGCTGTAAACCAACGACATAATACAAACAGTTACTGTTTATTTATTAATTTAATATTATTTATGATATATATATGTTTTAGCTGATGGTGCCTGCAAAATTATAAAACTGTTAATTGGTTCAAAAGCTAATCTTCCCAGCTTAATTCCTCTATTACCTCCGACCGAAACTTCACTGAGCCTGTCAAAAGAAATAGATATAATTTTACAAAGACAAAGCATTGATTCTCAAGCTCTTGATCGTCTTTTACTAGAGGTAATATTAGTTTTATACTTCTTTTGATCTTGCAGAGACTAGGAGATTCTAAAATATGACTCTTCTAGCAGTGCCTATTTCTCAGACCACTTAGGGTTGTTCTGGAGCCAGTTTAACTTTCATTTATTCTTAAAGAAAAATTACCAACAGATTTGAAACATTTTTGCTGCTTGCAAAGAACAAAAAAACTAAATTTTAAATAACAGAAAAACAGGATTAAAAAGTTCAATTTTACAACCACTTTTAAGAACATGTCATAATAACTTTCCAGTTTTAATCTGAATAAAACCTATTAAACATGTTTTGTATCTGATATCCTGATATGAATAATTTTCTTTTTTATTTGTTAATCTGAAGATAAGATAATAAATTGATAAATTTGATAGAGTAACAGGATTTTATTTAAAATAGTTTATTTCAAAATAATATAAAAAAGAATTTTAAAATGATTTAAGATTTGTATATATGTGTTTCCAGACTTGACTTGATGAGAGTTTTACGTATAGTAATGAAACATATTGCTAGAAGGGTTTATACTTTGAATTTTATTTATTATTTACTAATCTTTAATTTTAATCTAACATTTTTAATTTACTAAAAAAAAATTAAAAAGCTATTTAAACTGAGGTAATTGTTTCTTTATTAAAGTTTCTTTTTTTAGCAATGGTCTGATATAAATGCCGGAGTCATTCGATTTGGTTGATATGTTCAAGTAATCTTTAAGTACATGTTTTGAGGTCAGAAGAAAGGCTCAGAGCCATCCAGACTTCGCCTTTAATATAATTCCACCATAGCCACCTCAATATCCATATGTTCTAGCAAACACTATCTTGATTAACAATCAAGTTTTTCCCTCTCATTCAGAACTGTCTCTAGCAGTCTAAATTTTGATATTCCACCTGATGTGATTTATCATCTGCCTAGATGAAAACATTTAAATATCTGCTAGCATTTTAGTTGATATACTTGTTGATCACAATTCACAATCTCAAGCACCTAAGTACTGAACACTGCTTTAATTTTTCTTATAATAACAAAATCAAGTATTTAATCGATAATCAATATAAATAATTGATAAATATATTATAGATAAATAAGAATCTTTGATTAGTATTTGAAAAGTTTTTTTTTTATTATATTTATTGAAATTCACAACTGTATTAGCTAATTTGAAAAGTTAAATCTCAATCTTATATAAGTTTTTATCACTTGTTTTTTATTGCAGCCCAAATTTGCTTGATTTTAGTTAATTGTAAATTATCTTTACTTTCATTAATATTATTAAGTTTTAAGAAACTTAAATTTATTATTTCATTCCATAACATTTTGATTTTAGTTGGAAAAAGGTCAAAAAGAATTATCTTCTATTTATGAAGAGACAAAAATCTCAAGATATTCTACTGAAGATTGTGCTGCAAGCCCTATTCATAAATTAATATCAAAATTAGTTATCCTCGCAACATCTTCGGATGATCAGGTTTGAATTTATCTATTATTCTTTTCTTTCCTTTGCTATTTTTTATTCTCATTTGTTTATACAATCCTTTACAATATTTTAAATCTATATAAAGATGCTTATACCTTTACAATTGAACATTATATTTCATTAGCTCTTTTTCATAAACTTTTTTTTTATGAATAAAAAAATTAATATTTATTCTTCTAAATTGCAGATAAAGGATCGTGCTGCTGAATGCTTAGGGAGAATTGGTCCCCGGAATTTAAACACTCTTGCACTTCAGCCGGATCTTGATAAAGAATCTCCGCCATTGTCTGCAAAAGTAGTTTCATTATTACTGCCTTTACTGGTAAGTGAATATTAAATTAATCAAACGGTTTAAATTGAATATTAGTTTTATTTTCCCTCACTTAAATTTGAATTTGATTTTTTGTTCTTATTATTTATATTGCTATTAATTTCTGTGTTACCTTATTATAATTAGTCTGCATTAAATTTGTACATCATCACATTTTACTGTGGTAGCTTCCATGTGTACATATATGTACTTGGTTGTTATAAGCAAGGTTTACATTACATTTTAATGATGGTTTACATTGTTGTAATTCATCAAAGAAATCATACTTTTATCATTTCTCTGATCAGTTTTTAAGATATTTATTCTAATTCTTTTTTTTCTTTTTAGTATGTCTAATTGTTTTTAAATTTGTCTAAAATCGGTTGGAAAACCCTGTGAGTGTACTACACCTGATTTTTTCCTTGTTTAAATTTAATTTTCTTTTATTAGAAGTTTATTTTCAAAATATCTTGCTTATTAATTGAATCACAGTAATGACAAATATTAGTAAAATGATATGGTACAATGAATTTGTTTGCATTATTTATTTATAGAAGTTTACATTTTTGATTATTATTATTAATTACATTGATATTTTAGAAATTTGTAGATTTTCAACTTGGTCCACCATTTGATAAATGGATGTAAGGAAAGCTTAGATAATTTTTAATTCAATAAAAAAATATTGACAGCATTTTCTTTAATTTTGTAAATCCATTCATTCTTCATCAAATGTTTAATTTCCAGGTCCACAATGATCTTGAAACCTGTGAATTAGCAGTTACAGCCATTGTTGAAGTATTTGAAACTAAGGAAGGGTTAGAAGCTCTAGGTATGTTTATTTATTCAATAATATAACATTAAATCTATTTTCATTTATTTTTTACATTCGATTTATTTTTACTATTCATTTCTTTCAGATGATCTTGACATGTTTCAGAAAACGTTTCTGACTCCTTTCGTTTACCATAATAAAAAAACAAAAAGTTTTTCCAAAGATTATTCTGTTCAAAAGCTTGCTTGGGCTTCTATGCAAGATTCTGAAAGTCCTTCCAGGGGTTGGTGTCTCTGGTCTGGTAATGATCATTCTGAATGGGTGAGGACGGTTGTGTCCCGCCTGCTGGCATCTTTCAACAGCGGGTATCTACCCTTATTAGCTCCCCTTGCTGCAAAGGAGGTAACATGATGTATAATCAATAAAATATTTTTTTCTATAACAATAAACAAATTTTCAATAGGTTTTAAATGAAATTGTTATTCTTAATTTTTAGGTAAAAGTTAGTGAAGAACTATTGCCTTATATTATCGATATAATTATGGAAAATCATGAATATTGTCCAGAAGCATTACTTATAATACAGAGAAACGTTTCTTATTTTTTTGAAAATCATTTTAAGTTTCATCAAAGTGGCAAAAATATTCAAGATGGTAATTTTTAATTAATTTTTGTACAATAAATATCACCCTTTATTGAATGAAATATTGTTGATCCACCTTACAAGGAAAGCTATATAAATTTAAAAAAAATGAATTATTCCTAGTTTAAGAGTTTAAATTGTATATTACTGTACAGAAAATATGAAAGATATTAAATATTCAGAAAAATATCAACTCAATATTCCAACTATCCAACTATATGTGACTCAATGAATTTCTGAGTTTTTCTTCACCCTCCCCTCCTCCCTGTAATTACTTTTTTACTGAGCTGGGAGACAGAGCATTAACTCTTTTTTTCTCAATAATCTTGATCTTAAGCCTGATATTGGCATTAGTTGAATCGCTTTGATCATGGGATGGGTAAATCATTTTAACTTGATCTTGAGAAGTTTTGCCTGACTTATTTAGACATATGTAAACATACTTAAGACAAATCTGGAATCTTAAATAAAATAAGTTGCAAATTGGCAATTATATTTATTTTTTCAAATTTCGCATTGCTATAATAAAATTATCTAGACTTTATATAGCTACTATTAGTGCAAAAGGTATAATGTAAAAATTTTCCATTTTTATTCTATTTGTCCTAAAGGTTCTATTTTGTAGTCTGCAATGATAGAAAATAGCAGAGAAAAATAAAATATGAAATCATACTAATAAATAATAAAGAAATAATCAGTTTTTCTTCTGCTAAATACTCAATTTTTACATAAGACCTTTTGCACAAATAGTGGTGATGTAACAAATATTGGTTATTTTAATTGTTTTTAATTTTTAGGTACTTCAATATATTTCAACCGAAAATCTGTTCAGTGTATGCTTAGCATTATAAATTTCTGTCGTATAAAAACTGCCGCTTTATCACAAGAAAAATGGTAATGTTACTTCTATACTTTCATTTAATTTACTTTGACATAAAATTGGTCAATAGATCGCTTTTTTAAATTTGTCTTTATAAAATAAATTATAATATTCATGTATTGAGATTGAAAATCCAATAATTAATTGCTCAATCTTATAGAAATACAAATGTTTACAATCTTATAACATACTAATAATTTTTAATCTCTGTATGTATTGCTACTTCTAACCACATATCAATTGATCAGTTTTTAGTGCCTGTTTTTTCTTTTCTTTTTTTCAAAAAAATGGTTTTTGTTAGTTTTAAATTTAAACAGAACTTTCTTTCATCCTTCATTTTATTTCAGTTTTGAAAACTGGATTAATGTAGCCACATCAACATTTAAACCCATTGTGTGTGAATAGGGAATGGTGTGATACAGGAACTAGAATCTTGAGTACACCATCTCTAACTTTAGAGAAATATCTACATTAAAATTAAAATTATTTATACATTTAAAGGTTTTAATATTGTAAATCAAAGAATTGTCAAAATGATTCCTGGCAATAGGTGGCAAACCATCCAGCTTGATGAAATAGGGTAACGTAAATTTGTCCATACGAATATGTTTTTCCTGCTAGTCATCATTTTGCTTCTTATTACTAATGATTTTAGGTCATCCAGAAAAATATTTATGTCCTTAGTACATCCATTAGTATTGATTTATAGGTTTGGCAAAAATCCAAAGCCTCCCTGGCTGTAGCTGTAAAATATTGTTTCCTCCAAATATATTTTGCTTTGATAATATAATCCATTCAAAACAATTGAATAAACTAAAGTCAAGGTATTTGTCATGGTCAGAGAAAAGCAAAATATATTTAGAGGAGACCACATTTTATATATATTTATAACAAACATTTTTTTTTTTTTGTTTAGGATGAATTACTTGAGAAAGTTGAACCTAAATTTTCTTCATGTTGCTTATGCTGCCCAGTTTTGCCATGCATATTTCACATCTCTTCTGTATGCAGAAATTTGGGCAGAATACATTAAAGTGTAAGTTCATTAAATTGTTAAAGGTAATTTTTTTTAACATAGTTTTATACATTTTTAATGATCTTTATCCTGTTAGCTGTATTGGTAAATTAAATAATGCACTCTTAGTCTTTATTTAGAATATTGATATGCTTCAATTAAAATAATACAATTGTCAATTAAAATATATGTACCTTGGAACGATGTAAACGCCATAACTATGAAATCATTGTAAATGACACATTAATTCTTTAAACAGTCATTGCATGCGAGAAGGCAATCTCTCCTCCATGGGCGTAGCTAGGGTGGGCCAGCTGCCCTCTCTCCCCCTTCCAACTTGAAAAATGAAATATCAACAAATATAAATACCGCTAATATGAAAAAAAAAATACCAGTTTGTTTTTTAGTATTTCAACAATTTGAAAGAAACTTGCAACTTCTAAATAAACATTATTAATTTTATAGAGACATTGAAAAGGAAATACCAAAATACATCACATTAGCACCCTTGGATTTGATATGCAGAACGAGACCTGAGGAAGGAATTTTAATTCTCAACTTATTATGGGAGGTATTACATATGTAGTAACTTACTTCATTATCAATATTTATAATATATTCTTGGTTTTATTTTCTGTTTTAATTTTTAATTCATCTACCGTCTAATATTAAGGGAGTTTGATGACATGTCACTTTGTTTGTTAAAAATAATATTACTCTTAAATATTTATTTTTCATTCGTTTGTTATGTTATTATAACGTTAATATTAGTAAATAGTTAAAATAATTGTTTTACAGAACTATAAGGAAATCGGTGAAAGTGACAGTGTTGAAAGTTGTGCTAGATTGCTTATCAATGATCCACAAGCTAGAATGCGCTACTTTAAAGAAATGGGATTATGGCAACAACTTGTTGCCGAAGCTGAGGTTGAAGATGATCATGAAGGTTGTAAAAAACAAATCTTACTTGATTATTTTAGTTTATTTGATTAACAGATTTTTATTTATTATTTTCTACAGCTCTTTCACATGGCCTTCTGATGTCTGGTATGTTTACTTGCGCTTCACGTGTGCAAGGTTGTGGATGGGAAGCTGCTTGGCGTTTATTGCAGTGGAATATTGAGCAGCCACAAAAAGGTTAATTTTTCTGTCAGTATATGTTTGTATTTATTTTTATAACGTTTTACATAAAATCTGTTTTTCATAAGATGTAATACAATATTCTGTGAAAAATCCAATTTAGCATGGTTTAGTTGGGTAAAAGTCCTCTTTAAATGGTTTCAAGAAAGACAAACTCTCCTTTCAGTTGCAGGATATTATGAAACAATTCTGAGTAAGATAAATTAAACATTTTTTTTAGCTATTGCTTCTTATTCAACAAAACACGTGACACTTAAAAATACAAAATTTAAAATTCCTCCTTTCCTGCAGATAATCAAACCATAAGTTATTTAAACTTTTACATAGTTCTTGAGATCTACGATCACCTCTTAAAATATTTCCTTTTACTTATGGGACACCCTGTGTGTGTATATGCATATATATAAATTTTTTTTTTTTTTTCGTTTGGCTCTACAGACCTTGTAGATCTTTAGCCGCCTGAACCAGCCTTCTCCACCTCTGCCTATCTTGGGCTACTGCTTTCTAGTTTGTGGCATGAAGCTCGGCCCTATCTTTGTTTATCCTATCTATCCATCTGGTTTTTGGCCTCCCACATTGTCTCTTGTCTACTACTCTGGCATTCATTGTTGTGTAAAGGGGTACTGATGGATTGCTATGAGCTACATGCCCTGCCCATCTTTACCTCCTTGCCTTCATGTCATGAGATATTGACTGACCTGTTTCTTTCACCAGTTCTTCTCTTCTTATTGTTCCTTCTCCTCCATGTGTCAAGGTTCTGGTCCCATATAGGTCCTGTTATCCTACGTAGATCTTTTCTTTCAAATCTCTCAATTCTGGCTTCTAGTATGCCGGTTAGAGCCCAGGTTTCACAACCGTACAGCAGAACTGGCTTTATCACGGCGTTGTACACCCTTATTTTTATTTTTCTGGATTTCAGTACCCTTGAAATCCCCTTGAACCCTTGAAAAACCCTTGAAAGAGAGAAGAAAGATCTATTCGCACTTGTTATTTGCTCGTCTATCTCTGTTAGTTGATCATTTATTGAGGTTATTGTGGAGCCGAGGTATTTGAATCTGTCTACTTTCCGGGAATGACTTAGAGTCCACGCAGATCATATTATTAGGTGGATGTTTCGCTTAACTATCATGTATTTTGTTTTATCAACATTGACTTGTAGTCCGATTTTCTCTGCTTCTTTTAACAGAGTCCGAGCGAGTCTCTCAATATTCTCTTGATTACTTCCGAGGACAGCTATATCATCAGCGTATGCTAAGATTTTTTGTTTCATTCCAACGTGCACCCCTATTGTATGTATATATGTATATACTATTAAGTATTATGAATTCAAAGGTGATTATCTATATATTTATTGTATTTAAACAACTTTGACAGCATTTGATTCTTGTAAAACATTTTCCGATCCTCCCAATTACATTTAATTTATGTATCAACATTTTCACGAAGCTATTATAGAAAAGAAAAATGCCATTAATAATCAAAATGATGAAGTGTGATTATATCAGAAGAAGTACGCTTGGAAACCAAATAAATTAAGTAACTGAAATAGTTCAGGTTAACAGAAACATTGCATGATGGCCAACAAATAGTAAAAAAATACTGAAATTATCATAATGATGGGAAATTATCTTAAAATAATATGGGTTGCAAGTTACGTCATTGTATTATTAAAATAATTTAACTTTGTCCATATCTTTCAGTAAACAAAGATTTCTCTTCTCTTCATTACTCTGCCCTGAGATCCATCCTTCACCTGAAAGATAAACAGTCTGCTTTGATCTTCTTGGAATCTGCAAAGAAACTCGTTCTCAGTGACTTGGCCCATGCAAGCCTTGAAGTAGCCGCTTCAGTATACCTCCCATTATCTAAACTACAACTAGTTTCTGTAAGAATTTCACTGTAATTTTTTACTCATTAAAATTGTTTTTAAAAAAAATTTATACTAATTTAAATTTTATAATTTAAAGTGGTGGAGCTATTATTGACCATAAACCAAATAGTAGAAGTTGGTTGTAATTTTCTGAAAGTTTGCTACATTTAAAATTTTGATCTAAACTCTTATTTTAAAACTTATTTAATTTAAACTTCTTATTTTAAAATTATGTATATATTTTATTCATTTATTTTTATTGTACCTTTGTAGTTTTATTTATTTGGTTTTTTTTTTTTTTCATTTTAACTTTAGAATGATATGATAAAGATGCTTTATTTTGGAACAAGACATATCAATAAATATGGTGTGGTGTATCCCACATGGTTTAAATAAGAAAAATAATGTATTAATTGTGGGTTGATGGTTGACTATAATGAATAATGAAGAGAAGGATGGTTGGGGTGATCAGTCAAAATGAAAATGGCAAAAATAAATATTAAAATAATGTATTATTAGTTAATATATAAATAATTAATTAGCTGGGGATCAGTCAAGGTTAATTATATTATAAAGTCAGTCTACTATCCATCAGTTTTTATTAATTTGATTTTATTTTTATTAGGAATTGGAAATGTGGTGTACTAATGAGGAAGTTAACCAGGTTATACCTGATGCCAATTGGATCCATATTGAACCACTTTTAATGCAAAGAGGTTTAATTTGGGGTGAAGCTGAACAATTGCTTTCTACAGCTAAAATTGCAAGAAACAATTCGTCCCTTTTAATTGCTCGGAGGTACTTGAGATTTTATTTTTGAAATATTTTTTCACTCTATAGATGTAGATATTTTTTTTTTATTGTAATAGATCATGAATAAGTTTATTTCTATCATTTAAGTTTTTTTAATCTACAATTTTGGAATTTTTAAAGTTGTCATTTATATTCTAAAAGAACTAATAATATTCAAAGAAAGATCTAATAATTATAATAATGGTCCTGTTTTTTTCAAAACGTTAATAGTAGTAGAGCTCCTTTAGACCCAGAATTCAAGCCTCTAAAAGTGAAGATAATTCGTTGCTTTCTGATAAAGAAAATAAACTGGGACGGTGAGTCAGGCCCTTTAAATCCCTTTTGAATGAAGGAGCAGAAGAGAGGCAGAGTACATTTGGTGATGACAATGGAAATATTGAAACCCTATACTTAGAAGTATCATATGCAATTTTCCATTTGAAAAACAACAAAACCCCAGGACCAGATGGATTGCCAACAGAATTCTTGAAGTATGGTAGTGAGGAGCTTCAAAGGGCATTATATGACATGATCCTGTTTTTATATATATATATATATATATATATATATATATATATATATATATATATATATATATATATAAGAGGAAATACCGAGACAATGAAGTAGTGCAGCCATATATTCCTTACAGAAAAAGTTAGACCGATTAGAATACAGAAACTTGGAGGATCACACTGTTATTATGTGCTTAGTAAATTCTTTCCAACATCCTCTTTAACCAACTATCCTCAATCCTCTAGCTCGAGATAGGGGGATATCACTTTGGTTACCAGAAGGGCAGATTGACCATTGACCAAGTGTATACTCTGAGGATGATTTTGGGAAGAGATAAATATAGGCTGCCAACTATTCTAAAATGCCTTATGACAGCATAAAACGAGCAAAGCTGTATGAAGCACTGTCGAAGATGAATTTCCTAAATAAGTTTCTTCGCCTTGTGAAGTTGATAATTATGGAAGTGAGATCTCAAGTCTGGATTCAATCTGATAGTGATGAGAAGATTGCTTGGCTTGTCTTCTATTTGATTTTGTGTTTGAGAAAATGTTGAGAGGCTGAGACACAATCTTTTTCCTTATGGTACAAATATTTGGTTACGCTGATGTCCTAAATATAGTTGCAAGGTCGCCACCAGAGTTAGAAGAAGAATTCCTTAAGCTTATTGAGGGCAGCTTCAACTACTGGTCTTGTTATAAATGAAGCCATAACTAAGTATTTCTACACTGGGTAGGGAAAAGATTCGGAGTTTGCTATTGGCCCTTCAACTTTTGAAAGGGTCATGGAGCTCACTTACTTTGGATCCCATGTAGCAGCTTCGAATCATATGTCAGTGGAAATAAAGAAAAGATTGTCTGCTACAAATCGGTGTTTTGGACTACTAAAGACTTTTCGGAGCAGACAAACCAAGCTTTCTCTTTATAATTCCTTTATCCGACCTACTCTTACATATGCCTCACAGATATGAGCTATTTTCAAAAGTATTAAAAAGGACTTAATGATTTTTTAATAAAAAATCTTGCAGTATATTATTGGTTCATTAAGAGTTGCCAAGAAATGAAAGATTAGGAAGAACCAAGAGCTGTAAGAAATCTATAAGGAGGCTGATGTGGTCAGGACTCATTAAGGTTTGGAGACTCAGTCAGGCTGATTGCATTGCTAGGTAACTGAAGAAGAAATGCCGAGGAAGATATCTGAAGATCTTTTTCTAAACACCCCTAGAAGTGGAAGATCTTGATTAAGGTTTGCCCACGGACGGATCTATGGGGGAGGCTTACGGGCTGAAGACCCCTCCCCTCTCCCCCAAAATGGTGCAATATAACCATGTTTTATGGAAAAATATATTAGAAAGTTATCTTGTAGTATTATTAAGGGGGTGGGGTGGCCGAATGGGCTAAAGCGTGTGCCCAGCACCGCAAGTTGCCTGGCAACCGGATTACAGATTTGGGAAGATTTAAAAAGTACAAGTTCACGTCCCGGTGCCGGAGGGGATTTTAAATTCCCCGCCCTCACCCCCCGGCCCGGGAAAATCCCGTGTAGCCTAAAAGGCGAGGTAGGGAAGAACAAAAAAAAAAAAAATCTTGTAGTATTATTGTTCATGTAATTATATTTAAAAGTACTTAAGGAATCACTTAAACACTATTTCATATAGATAGTTAGTTGCTTTCTTTTTTTCCAAAGTAATTATCGTCATTTTTATGAAGAAAAAAAAAACTTTCGGGCTGAAGCCCCCCCCCCAAAAAAAATTAAATCCTGAATCTGCTAGTGAGGTTGGCTGACTGAGTGGTAGCGGACACAAGAAGCCTCTAATGGTGCAATCTTCATGAGCTTTATACTTGTGTATGATAAAAATGAGAAAGATGAAGAAATCTGAGAATAAAGAAAAAATGAGACTTCTATGTCATAAGTACACCCTCACTCCTTTTAAGCCACATACTTATTCCCAATATTCTGAGTCTTCTAGAAAATCTTAGGATTCTGGTGTAGCATGTGTATTTTAATCTTAAATTGAGTTTTATATAATTAGTTGAAATTTCATCTTTTTTTTTAATTTCAGTTTGATAAATAAAATTAAAAAGGCAGATGTGCCTAAAGGACTGCGGAATGAAGCTAAGTTTGAAGAAGCTCAAATTCATTGGGAATCTGGCAGCTCAGAAACTGCTAAGTAAACATTTTGCCTTGTCTTATTTAAAATGTATTCAATCAATTTATTTAGGTGTGTTATTTATTGTTTTAAATTGTTGATAGATTTTTGTTGAAGAACTTATTAAATCATGATCTCGAACCTTATCTGAAATTAAAATGCTTGTTAAAATATGGTAATTGGATATCTGAAACTAAATCACAAAGTGCAAAAGAAATTATAGAAGAGTATTTTAAAAAGGTAAACAATTTATAAATACATTTAAAATGTAATGAACTCTGCAAAATTATTTAACAATCTGAATTATTAGGCCTCAGATCTATCTATGAGCAGTGATGAAGGTCGATTAGAGGCTGCTGAATGTCTGGCTAAATTTTCTGATACTGAATTCCAAAGATTGGATCGCTATCTTCGTTCAACAGAATATGAAAACAAGGTAATTGTTCATTTCAATCATCAGAGATAGTAATGTAAGTGCGTTGGCACTTTTTTTTTTCTTTTTTTTTTCCCTACCTCACCATTTAGGCTATACGGGATTTGCCCGGGCCGGAGGGTGAGGGTGGGGAATTTAAATTCCAGGACGCGAACTCGTACTTATTTTTGTCTCTCAAAACTTCATATAGCTGGTTGCCGGTCAACTCGCGGTGCTGTGCACACGTTTTAGCCCATTCGGCCACCCCGCCCCTACACTCTGCGTTGGTACTTATGAATTAAACAAGGACTGACATATTTCATGGGAGAACTACTGATAAAATCGTTTAATTCTCATTCTGACAAGTAAAAGTTGGTCCCAATATGCTGTCCTAATTTTCCAGCCCTAATCGGATTACCTGAAGAAGTTAAACCTAATAAATGATACCATTTGGAAGGCTTTGGCAAATTATGGTCTATGTTCATTTTTTTGTAATTGCGTTGTTGAATAAATTTTCTTCTAGCTTCCATCATACATTCTTAACATTAAGTCATAATTATAAAAATAGTTTGATGTAATAATCTTCTATGTTATATTCTAGCTTAAAATAGTTTTATGGATCAACTTTTATTGATTTTCTCTAAATTTAAAAAAATGTGGTGCAATATGTGCATCAAACAATTTCCACTTACCTCCGTGCTTTGAGAAGAAGTAACTATTTTCATACTTTAAAAGTGAAAGACTACTTATAGCAGTTGCAGACTACAAAATGTTACCTTTAGCAGTTACATACGACCTTTTGCACTAACAGTAGTGATATGTAATTTATTATCAATAAATATAGCAATTAGTTAATTATATTAAATTTATCATAGTGTGAACTGCTCATGGCTCCAGTCAATTTGTATAACTGACTCTCTACAGTAATAGAAATCTAGTAAAATTTTTATCATGAATGATGAATGTATTTATAATATCCAACGATTTTAATTTCTTTTAAAATTTTCTAGGTTTCTCATATGAGGGATACTAAAGAAAATCTTAAAGCTTTTCAGTCTTGTCCTGCATCAAAACTTAACAATGAAGAATTGAAATCCTCAAAAATCTATCAGTGTAACTTGGACATTGACAAAGCAGAGATTGAGACCATTTGCAAAGAGCATTCTGTATTTCTCAAGCTTGCTGTCAGGTATTGAAGTAGTCATATTGGTGGTCTCTCTATGATTTTTGTACATTATATAATGGTGCTTAGTCAGGGAGCATGACAACAAGCAAAGTGAAAATTAAATGTTAAAATGTTAGTTACAATTTCACAGCACTCACCCTAATCTGATGGTTTTATAATTGAAATCAGTTATAAGAAATCTGATGTTGCCAACAACTTCAATTATGAAAAATATATTTATGAAATTCTAATCAAAAGTTCTGATTAGCCAAGCTTATACAGGGTATTTCAGGGTTAAGTAGCTAAACTGAAAATATGAATTAAGGACCTCAAAACAAGAAAGAAATTCTTACGAACGCTTTGTTTAGGAGATATTTACACCTAAAGATTTTCATGGTTATGAATTATCTACGATATATTAAGTAAATAAAACTTAGATATTTGTTAAGTAGTTTCAAATTACTTTATTAATTAAACGTGAACATTAAATTCATATTAAATGTTTTCAAAGTGATTTCCTTTAGCATTAAGACAGGCTCGTCATCTTTCTTCAACAGCAGCAGTGGCTGAACGGCGCTGGATATGTGTTATTGTTTCACAAGATTCAATTATCCTTCTTCGCAAGGAATTAAGGTCATTGACCAGACTTGCATAGACTTTTTGTTTAATGTCACCCCAAACAAAAAAATCCAGTAGTATCAGGTCTGAAGAGCGTGCAGTCCATACCACTGATCCTGCACGGCCAATCCATTGATTGTGATAATTAACATTTAGCCATTATCGTGTACCTCTTCCATAATGTGCAGGGCAACCATCTAATTGAAGCACATGTTGTAGTGGAATATGTTCAACTAAATCATAGTTATCATTGTTAAGAAATTCCAGAAATGTGCCTGCATTGAGTCAAGGCGGCAAGAAATGCGGACCTATTAAAATATTGTCTATTATCCCCAACCACACATTACACTGAAACTGGTGCTGAAAATGATGCTCACGAATTGAATTAATTGTGTTAATATTTAAATTTAATTAATGCAGTTAGAACAAATAAATAGATTTTATTTATTTCATATAATGTAAATAATTCATAACTACGAAAATCTTTAGATGTAAATATCTGCTAAACAAAACGTTTGTGGACATACCTTCAGAGGTATTTTTTTCTTATTTTGAGGTCCTTAGTTCATTTTTGGAGTTTGGCCACTTACCCCTGAAACATCCTGTATATTTGTTATAAAATTGATTACATTGGGTTAGTTGATTTAGTAATATTCACTTTGTATTTTTAATGTCAATGATATGATTTTTATTATCACATTTATTTTCCATTTATGTTGTCTATTCTCTCTATTTTAGTGAATTAAAAATCTTAATTTATTGGTTGTTTGTTAATATTATTCTTTATTTTTAGAGAGTATTTATACAGCCTTCAGCATGACGCTGCATCTTCGGATAAAATGTTTCGATTTGTTTCCTTGTGGCTATCGAATAACAGGATTCCTGGTTTGAAAGAAGAGCTTGATCATCATTTAGATAAAGTCCCATCGTATCGATTTATACCAGTTTTTCCTCAACTTAGTGTCAGGATATCACTGGAAAACAGTCACTTTTCAAGAACATTAACTTCCCTTCTTGGTAATTATTAATTTTAACTGAGCTTATTCAACTACAAGCATAATTTGTTTATATTTTTTATTTTCTGGAAAACTTAACTGATCTTTTAGATGATTTGTCAGCATAACAACCCTACTTCAATCATGTCTACTTTGTGCTATTATTTTTCAAATGGTTTGTAACCGTACTTTTATGTAGCTCTGTATTCATGATTCTTTAGAGCTGCCCTGATAAAAAGTTTTTCATTCATGTTATTATTCTATGTTTATTTACCACCCTTCTTATTTATAACCCAATTTTTCTTTCATTCCTCAAATATAGGCAGTATCGGGGACAAAATTTCACAAACTTTTATCTGAATTTTCTTTGTTCTGAGTATTGTGCATTCATATGTAACCTTTTTTACTTTCACTTACGTATATATGTGATGTATAGTAAGGGTAAGTATTGCGATAATTTTTGAATCTCAGTTTTCAACGGAAATACAAGTTTTGTGGTCCCCTGAGTTCAAATAACCAAGTATCGCAAAATGGTCTGTGTGTGTGTGTGTGTGTGTGTTAACAGTCTAGCTCATAAACGAAAAGTAGTTCGAAACTGATATTAAGTATTTAAGGTTTGTATATGGGCCGGATGTGACAGCAACTTTTTCGTTAAAATCGGCTAACCGGAAGTGCCACTTTATATGAACGCTGAAACACATTTTTACAATTTTCTCAAAAACAGCTCTAACGATTTTGATCAAACTCGGTGTATCATTGTATAATTAAGTGGTCTTTAATATCATTTAGGTCTTATCCCCGTTGATGTCACTTTACAGGGCTTAAATGCTCAATGTTCACATATGTCTTCCTCTAAAGTACCTTTAATATGGTTTATTTTAAAAAGTTAACCATTTCACATTATTCAGAGTTATGAAAAAATGCTATATATAACTTTTGAAAGAATTTGATAAGTTAATAAAAGAGAAAAAAAATAAAAATGCAGAAAAACCTGCATTGCTATAGACTGTAGCGCCTAAACGATTTTACCAATTTCAATGAAACATCGCTAAAGTCATTTTCTCGATACCCTTTAAATTTATCTATATAACTTACTTCAACGAAAAGAAGCTGGAAAAAAAGTTACGAGGGATGTTAAAATTAAATTCTGAATAACTCAAAAAGTTACACTTTTTTGGATATTGTATAATGTTTAAAAGTTTAGGAATTTCCTAAAAAACAAAAAAATCGTTAAAATCGGACAATTAGGAGGAAAGATATGGTCTCTAGTTTTTTCCCCTGAAGAGGCGAAAATTTGGATAAATTTAAAATGTACTTTTTTAATTGTTGAGACTAAAAAAACCTTTTTTCCAGATATTTAATAAAGTGTCTTTCCTAAGAACATCTTTCATAAGAAATAAGTACCTAAATTTATACCTTTATTCTCAGCTCTATATTTCAACACTGCAATCACCATCTCTGGAATCAATTTACTCATTGTCTACATAGATAACTTTTTCAACTAAAAATAACACTAAAATGACATCACTCAAAAATGTTGAAATTGAAGTTAGTCATTCTGTGGTTTATAAAAGCAAAGAAAGTTGTGTGGTTTACAAAAGCAGATGGAGTGACTAGATTTTTAGAGTGATTAGATATATTAAATAGACATTTTGTAATTATAATGGTCTAAATGACTTGTTATCTGTAAGCTTCAAGTTTTAGCTCCATTTAAAATGCACTTCAAAAAATTTTATAATAGCCCAGCATTTCCAGAAAATAATTTCTATTCAAAGTAGATCGGTAAGTGAAAGTTGTGTGTTGCGCGCCAGATTTTTAGACGTTTCATCATGCCTTGAAAATTTAACCTAAGGGGGTCATTGGAAGAAAGCATACAAAGTAGATCTTTCAGTTTGACGTAATCATTTACAGAGAATTTTTTCAATAATATTTTCAAGTTGTATCTTTCCAGGAGGCAAACAAGTAACCTGTAGATATTTTGTTCATTGTGATATACATTTCTCTGTTTAAAATGCTATTCTTAACAGTTTCTTTACTCAGCTTTTAAAGCTTTTAATATTTCTCTCTTATACTGAATTTGAGGTTATCCTCTGATCAACATCTTATCAATTTCTTGGGAATAACCAGCTCATTGAGACTCCATGAGTATTTAAAAATCAACCAATTGCATCTATATTTGGTCTTTCTACAATCTTCTTCCTACTTCTAAATCCTACTACAAATGTATGTGTTTCTTTGGAAAATATTGATAACAATAAAAACGTCCTTAGGTATTCCAACTATGATGTGAAGGGAATGTTACATACCTATTCCAGCCAATGTGAGAGGTTTGAAATTTTTTCCGTGGTTCTGCCATGAAATAAAAGTCCCAGGCTAGATTTCAACTGGAGCCACTTCTATCTCTAAGAATGATGAAAGCAGTTATCATATTCATTTATTTATATTTATTGACAATATTATTTATTAAGCAATGTTAAAATATTTATATGACTTGGTGATTTTATTTGTTAATCATAGTAACTTGTTTGAATAGGTAATTTTTTTTTAATTTTAAATATAAAAAAAAGCAAGTGTCATGGCCGCTAGTGCAATTAAACTTACACGTCGCTCTATCCTTGATACGATTTAATGTGCTTGTTATTTAAAATACTGCTCTAAGACTTTTTCAACAGTGACTATATTAATTGTTTTACATTTTTATATTCACATATGATCAGGTGAGTAACTATTTATTAACAATGAAACAGTTATAAATTAGTGCTCGTTTGGTTAGCCCATGTGGCTAGTAATTCCCTTGCGGGTTTTACCTTATCTCCGATAAGTTCAAGCCAAGGCTCGGCACTGTGTACAATAACATTCTTCAGTGTTATTCTCAGTTCGAATCCAAGACATTTAGCTTCATTTTTTTTTTTCTTTATATTTTCTTTTTTTTTTTTTTTTCTTTCCAGAGACTCTTTTATTTAATTTTTTTTCTTTGATTATTTATTTTTTGGAAATGAATTATTTTATATTTTATTTTATATCTGTATATATTTATGTAAATAATTTTGTAAATAGCTTAGTTTTTAAGAAGTTATCTCATAAATTTTAATTTTAATATTTAGGTTTATATATATACATATTATTTTTTTTTTTTTTTTTTCTCTCTAACACTTATCATGATGGATCTGGATAAGAACACATCATGTGAAGACACGGAAGATGAGACACCCTTTTCGGAAATTAGCGAGACCGACTCGCAATATTTGAAAAGGCATACACTCCAAAAGCGTCTCCGAAACTCAGTTCCCGGATCGGGACAAAACTCACCTAATAAAAAAAAAAAGAAAAATAAATCAAATAAGCAACCAGAACAAGATAAATCTCCACCGAGAACTAGGAGCAAATCTAATGCCACTCAATCAGAGCCAACTGCACCAAAAACATCAGAAAGCAAAAACTCAATTCAAGAAAAAAACTTATCTCACAAGACTCCGCAGCTTCAAGATTTTTCTGATCCTGAGCCGCCGCCAATATTTGTTTCAAAAATTAAGAACTTTATGTCGTTTGGTCAACAAATTGCAGATTTGATCGGACAGCCAAATTTTCGATGTTACTCGAGAGTGAACGACATCAAAATCAATACTAATTCTAGAGACAATTATAAAAAACTGATCAATTTTTTAACATCCAATAACTACGACTTCCACTGTTACCAATTAAAACAAGAAAAGGCGTATCGAGTGGTCCTGAGAGGACTGCATTCAACCACACCCATATCTGCTATCAAATCGGGCCTCGAAGAAATCGGTCATAACGTCAGGCACATAGCACCTGTACTACATCCTAGAGAAAGATATCCGCTCCCATTATTTTTTATAGACTTAGAACCAGCAAAAACCAATATTGAAATATTCCAGGTTCAACGATTGGTTTACTCAATAGTCCGTTTTGAGGAACCGAGACAGAAGCCTCTAATTGTACAATGCACTTAGTGTCAAAACTTGGGCCATACAAAGACCTATTGTTATCACGAAGTCAGATGCGTTAAATGTGCCGGCCTACACGCTTCAGACACTTGCCAGAAGCCAAGAGATGAGCCTGCGACGTGTGCTCTTTGTGGCGAAGCCCATCCTGCGAGCTACAGAGGATGTGAAGTGTATAAAAATCTTTACAAACAAAGATCACGAAACTCAGCGGTGAAAAATCTTGGATCTGCTCAGAAAACTTACACTGAGGCACCTGAAATCGAAAATCAGGAAATCTTCCGAGCATTGCCGACTTCACCTTCCCTCGTCATCCAACAACAACCATCCATCTCTACAGCTAAGGACTCGCCTCACCAGAATCTCAGAAATTCTCACTCCCAGTCTTCCATCAGTAAGAAGCAGCCTTAACGTCAGGCGCCTCAGGCCTTCCAATCCAAGCCCAAAATCCCTAATCCTCAGCCTCAACCTCGCCAGCAAATCCCTCCTCATCATTTACCCTTAAGAGTCAAACTCCCGCCAGAGCATCCACATCCAGCTCCATTCGTTCCTAATCCCAGGATGAACCCCCCTCCACAAGTCCAACAGAATTTAGATCCTCCTCGTACCCCACGACGGGCCCAGCCCCCACCCAACATTCCTAATCGCATAACCTACTCATCACAACCTCCTGATCCAAACCCACTTCCCAGCCAAACACCATCCGACATCAACACTATCTTATCGTCATTCCTGATAGATCTTCAACAGACTATCAAACCGCTCATAACCCTTCTAACCAGACTCCTTTCCGAAATCCCGCTTAGCTTCCCTCGATGAACACGAAGTCCCTAGCTATTCTCTTATGGAACGCTAATGGACTGCAAAACCACCGTGACGAACTAGACATATTTCTCCATGACAATTATATTGACATTGCTCTCCTGACAGAAACTCACTTCACCCAACGGACACATTTCTACATACGTGACTACATCACCTATAGATCTGACCACCCAGACAACACTGCCCACGCCGGTTCTTGCATCCTTATCCACAAATCTTTACCCCATTCACT